GTTTACGATTGCTTGCTGCCTACCTATTCTGACCCTGCCTGCCTTGTTTATTCTTGCCATTGCTTGTCTGCCGCCTGCCTCGACCCTGATTACGAACACTCTTTACGATTCTGCCCAGCCTTCGTTGTATCTGACGCCAGTTAATGATTTATGCCTGTCTGACCTGCCTTGTGAACTAATAAAGCTGCACATGGATCCTAACGCCACTGCCTCTTTGTTACATATACAGCATATATATACATATTTTATTTGAAATATCTTTTGTAACATTATAAATGTATTTATGAGTACTTTTGATCAAATTAATGCATCCTTCCTTAATAAAATTTATAAAAAATTATATATACATATATATATATACTGTACAGTACATGTTAATGTACAAAATTATATATATATACGCAACTCAACACTCTTTGCGTGAACATTTGGGCGGCATTATGCAAATATTTCCACATGGTGAGGTAGATATGTGGGGGCGTGTTAGAACGAGCCGTTTTAGGGGGGCGTGGCAGAGTCTTAACTTTGATAAAGAATATCTCTTTGGTTTTGAGACTTTAGTCTTTGCAACTTCAGGGATCTTATCTATGCACAATCAGCTTGTAACACTCCAAAGAGAAAGGAAAACTTGAAATCGCATCATATGACTCCTTTAACATATGGCTTTTAAAGAAAAATAAATCCTGATTGATTTCCTGTATTTCAGGTTTCAAATGGAAAAGCTGCATTTAAAAGCAACAAAAGACTTCCACAATCTGGCAAATTAAATGTTTCTGTGCTGTTCTTTATATGGCTCTGAATAGTTTTTTGTTTTAGTCATTTTAGCTCACTTGCTCATAAAACGAAATGGAAATTAGTGAGATGGAAAATCAAAGAAAAATAGCCTAAAAAGAGCTTTGTGTGTGGCATCTCTTAGTGAATGTCTGTTGAAGATCAGAGCTTGACTGTAGAATATGAGTGTCTATAAACATCATTTAAAAACATACCGTTTTCGCTGCATATCCATCTAATATCTTGGCACCACTTTGATTCCCATAACTCAGTTCACAGCTTGTTTACAAACCGCAGCTAGTTCACAGATGTGAAACCTAATGGAGGGAGGTAAATAAATAAAATTAAGTGCAAGTTGTTGCACTTTGCCAGACAGGAAGACCCCCGACCACTGAAAGAAATCACATTCACTGATTTGACTTCATTAGCATGTTCCTCGTGTCTCTCTGAGGCAGAATGCAGCCAAGTGCACTTGTGTTGGGTGAGACAACACTCCAAAAACTGATGTAGTGAACCCACATAGATGAGAGAAAGAGAGAGAGAGAGTGAAAGAAAGAGAGAAGCACTAAAGTACATCATGTTGTCTTTCCACTGATGGACAAATAGATCAAGTGGCTTCACTATGGGCTCACTTCATCAAAGACACAGGGAGAAAAGCAAGATGAGAGCAGAAAAAAGGAAAAAGCTGAGTGACAAATGAAGAATCACAGGCAAGAGAGACAGAATGAGATCTCACCATCTGTGGAGCATCCCGTGGAACCGTCGCTGGAGCAGTACCTCATCTCAATCCGCTGTCTCCCTACTTCCAGCAGGCTGGGCTCTGGTACTCTCGCCTTACAGGTGTACCTGAACCGCTGCTCATAGTGCCCGCCATTATCTGAGATATTCACTGGCGTCCATGGGGTCCAGGGAGTGGTCTTCTTTAGATCCGGGCAAGGGAGGGTATTACAAGACTGGAATTCCTAAATACAAACCAGCAAAATATATGATACATTTATATATTACAATTTATTTATAATTCATATTCATAATATAAAATTCATATTATATCATTTTTTGTTTTTACTTTATATAAAACATGATTATACATACAATATGTATACATATTAATACATATACATATTTATAATATGTGACCTTGGACCACAAAACCAGTCATAAGGGTCAATTTTTTTAAATTGAGATTTATACATCATCTGAAAGCTGAATAAATGAGCTTTCCATTGATGTATGGTTTGTTATGATAGGACAAAATTAGGCTGAGATACAACTATTTGAATATCTGGAATCTGAGGGTGCAAAAAAAACAAAAAAAATCAAAATATTGAGAAAATCGCCTTTAAAGTTGTCCAAAATGAAGTCCTTAGCAATGCAAATTACTAATGACAATACATTTTAGATATATTTATGGTAGGAAATTTACAAAATATCTTCATGGAACATGATCTTTACTTAATATCCGAATGTTTTTTGGCATAAAAGAAAAATCAATCATTTTGACCCATACAATCTATTTTTGGCTATTGCTACAAATATACCCATGCTACTTATGACTGGTTTTGTGGTCCAGGGTCACATATTTTAATAGTATTTCATATCTTCTATATTTATGACTTATAAAATATATATTGAATACATTTTATTTTTTAATTAATATAAAAAAAAATTCATAAAGAATATATATATGCATTTATTTGAAATACAGCAATATTGTGAAATATTATTACAATTTAAAATTAATGCAATTACTCCAGTTTTATTACATTACACTACAATTATTATAGGTACTCAATTATTATTATTGTTATTTTAATTTAAATATTGTTTTTTATTATAAATGTTGAAAACAGTTTTTGCTGCTAAATATGTTTGTGGAAATCATGATACATTTTATTTCTTTTGAAAATGTAAAAGAACAGTGATAGATAGATAGATAGATAGATCATGTGACACTGAAGACTGAAGTAATATATATATATATATATATATATACAGTGGAATGGCAGAGGATCGCCAAATCCAGGTGTGAAAAACTTGTTGGATCTTTCCCAAAAAGACTCATGGCTGTATTGGATCAAAAGGGTGCTTCTACTAAATATTGAGCAAAGGGTCTGAATACTTAGGACTTGTGATATTTCAGTTTTTCTTTTTTAATTAATCTGCAAAAATGTCAACAATTCTGTGTTTTTCTGTCAATATGGGGTGCTGTGTGTACATTAATGAGGAAAAAAAATTAACTTAAATGATTTTAGCAAATGGCTGCAATATAACAAAGAGTGAAAAATTTAAGGGGGTCTGAATACTTTCCGTACCCACTGTATACACATAAATTTTTTTCTTTTTCTTTTTTTTTAAAACGGAGAATGTTATTTGTTGCAGGCATATGAAATATATCCATTGCGCTCTTTGCTGAACATGGCAAGTCGCAAACAAGTCAAGCAGAAAAGGTCATTGATCAAGTTTAATTTATGGCCCGTGAGGAGAAAAAGGCTCTGAAATGAGGGAATAAATAAGGAGTGCATTTTACACAAGCTAAAATGACATTTCGACTGGAATGGAAGCTCAAAGGACTGACAAAAAGACAAAATTGTCACTGGCATGGGACAGTTCAAATGAGCGCTGTCTGTTCTAACATCTAGTCCTAGTTCAGTGGGAGCTTGCGGCAAATCTAACCTCTTAAATTCCCGATTGTTTTATTGCATTTCTATAATTGATATGACATATACACTGCCTATATCCTTGATCTGTACCAGCAGTTATACCAATGTACCAATGTCTAGCACTTGAGGCAGTCCGATTCATGTCCTGACACCTTAATAAATTCGCCTGAAACAAGGAGCTATAGATTTCCTGTAAATCATATGTGTTCATTTGGTGGAGTGGAGAGCTGTGTCCATTCTCACTGCATTTATTTATGCTTAATAGACCTTGAATGACTGCCAGACCTTGGCAAAATAAGATAAAAGTCCTTTTTGTTCATCCGTCAATCTGTCAGACAGAAGGAGAGCTGATGTGAAGCGCTCAGACGGCTGTCTACTTCACCTCCCCTGCCTCAACTCGTTTCTTCTCACCTCCTTTCTCCCAAGGACGGGGAGCAGCCGAGGTTAAAGATATGGAAAAGTTTAGTCATTGTTTGCTGTGCGGTCTGACCATCTATTTTTGTTTACGCACTCTCTTTGTTAATATTTTATAATGGTTTATAAATATGATGAAATGAAATCAGCGGACTCAATGCTTTTTACTTCACTGAGCATCAACACATCAGCTAGAAAGGCTCTAACACAGAGATTTTTGCAGTATGTTTTCTCAGAGACAAAGGAGGGCATTGGGTGTTAGTGTTGTACTTGTGTGACTACGCATAGTGAAATGTTCATGCTAGGCTGCACTCTCTCAGAGCACAAAAGCAAAACGAGTTACCCAATAATTACATGGTTCCATTAAACATTCAACGTCTTGATGCCTCCACAAACTAACAAACTACAGCTACAAGCTGTATTAAGTCTATATAATTATGTAAACATGCCATTAAAATATTAAAGAACCTGGTTCTTTAGTTTCAGCTTTTCATCACTGTGAGAGACAAATATGATGGAAAAAAGTTTTTAGCACATTACATTTATTTGAAATAAATGATATAATGTATATTTACTTATGTGTGGGTAAACACACACACGCACGCACGCACGCACACACACACACACACACACAGGTTTGTTTTTGTGAATTGTGGGGACATTCCATAGGCGTAATGGTTTTTATACTGTACAAACTGTATTTTCTACTGCCGTACACCAACCCTACACCTAAACCTACCCCTTACAGGAAACTTTCTGCATTTTTAGATTTTCAAAAAAACTCATTCTGAATGATTTATAAGCCTTCTGAAATATGGGGACACTCAGTGTCCTCATAAATCACCTTCTCATTGTAATACCTACGTCATACCCATGTCATTATACAAATTTGTGTCCTCATATGTCACAAAAACGCGCACACACACACACACACACACACACTATATGTACTTTACAAAAATATGCAGTGATATTTATTTACATAAAAATACATAAATTATGGACAGAAACTGAAACTCATTGCATAAGCTGTATTAAACTTCTAATTTAATGATTCATTAAATAAATGCAATGATTTAATGATAATTAGGCATTATTTATGGAATTGTAATGTTCTATGTTGAATAAAATAAAATATTTCTTTCTAAAGCTACTTTTTGTAATGTCTATTTGATGCTTTTCTCAAACAACACAATAATGAATTTATAAATAATAAAACATGGAATTTATTATAGAATTATTATAGAATTTATATAAAATATATAATTATAAATGCTGTTCTTTATATAGAATATGTAAGCATTAATTTGATTAAAAATACAGTAAAAACAGCAATATTGTGAAATATTATTATAATTTTAAATCAGTGCCATTACCCCAGTCTTCAGTGTCACATGATCCTTCAGAAATCATTCTAATATGCTGAATATTATAGCAAATATTACTGGTTGTCTAAAAAACAGTATTAAAATAAATAAACCAATCTCACACACACACACACACACACACACACACTTAATTTTTTTGTGTAATAGTGTATAAATAATTAAACTTCTAATTTAATGATTCATTAAATACATTTAATAATTTAATGATAATTAGGCATTATTTATGCAATTGTGTGTCTTTATTAATTTCTTCCAAATATATATTAAAACCCATCCGAAGCCCATAAAAAACCCTGCATCCCATTTCTCTACGATGACTGTGCAGTATGGGTATTAATTTACCTGACGCTGTGGTCATATAGAGACAAGTTTTCTCCAGGGAATTTGAACATTCCCAAATGACAGCATTTTTTCATCAGGCCCCCTGATGGAGTGTATCATGCTCCGTAGTCTTGCTTGACTGATTGCGCACTTTTCTGTACTAATAATTGAGTCTATTTGTCTTGGTGGTCCATTGTGGAACGGCCAGACGGCGTGTCTCAGGTGAACCGCCGGTAATGAATGCAATCAGCGACACCTGCGTAATGGATTGGAGTTTGTTGTTTTCTGTAAAACATACTAGAAGCTGCGTATCTCAGTGGAGTCGGGGGCATTCAGTCAAAGATGTGAGGCGTAGAACGGCCAATTACGATCAACACACACGTACTTGCTGATACGCTGTATTTTTGTGAAGACACAGTGGATTGAGGGTTGTGTGTGTGTGCAGAGTGGATGTAATGATGTTAGAAGGCTCCAGAGAGCGTGGGTGGGATTACTCATTAGTCAGCAGATGCCTGGAGACTGAACAGGGACCAGCAGACCTTCGTACGGGGCATCCCCTAACCCCTGTCTCCACTACCCATAACGCATTAGTGACAGACGAGAACTTTAGGTAATACAGTAATTCTGAGGATGAAAAACATACTTGGGGAGTGCGAAGTCTGAAAAAGATGGAGAGAGTGGGGGATAATGAATAGACTGTCGGCGGACAACAAGAATGGAACAATAGAGAATTAGGGAAAGGAAGAGGCAGATAAAGTGAGATGGATGGAGAATTATAGAAATGAAAATCATGAGCAGGATGAGTAATGATAGAGGAGTGGGAAAGAGCGCAAACAATCCGAGAGGGTGTATTATCCACACATAACATCATTATCGACAAAAAAAACAAAAACATGATTGATTTTGCTCGGTTTAGGTCATGTCAAATTTTCAAATTTAAGACATCATGGGAGGGCCGGTACGCAAGTATCAGGCTGCGTACATCAACACATCAGTAACCGTTAAAAATCACCATTATGATGTGCTGCTCATACGTAGGCGTTCGCCCAGCTGGTGAGAACATCTACCTCACTGAATCCAATGTAGCATCAGCACGTCAGCTGATGTGTTTGAGTGCATTCTGCTGCATTATCTCTTTCACCTAATGCCCTCAAAGTGAGATTTTTGCAGTGATGCTTTGCAGCGAATGAAACTTTATGAATGTTATGAATACACACGCGTCTGGTTTGCTATCCTTGTGGGGACTCTCCATAGGCGTAATGGTTTTTCTACTGTACAGACCGTATATTCTATCGCCCTACACCAACTCTACACCTAAACCTACCCCTTACAGGAAACTTTGTGCATTTTTAGATTTTCAAAAAACTTAATTCTGTGTGATTTATTAGCTTGTTTACCCGTGGGGACCTCAATTTAGGTCCCCACCGTGACACGAGTCCCCATGAGTCCCCATGTGTGTATTCAGGTTTAAGTCCCCACCAGAATAGAAAAACAGGTACACACACACACACACACACACAAATTCAAAAAGTCTAAATCAACTGAAATATTAAAAACTAATATTTATTTTATTTCCCCCTCAATAACTGATTGATGATGATCGATGTACTGATTGATGTACACTGTACATTAAAGAGTCTTCGTGAACATATCTGAAGATTTCGACGGAGAGGATGACTTGTAATTTTTTGGCCAGCCTTACTTATTTGAACCAGAATATACACTACGTCAGAACGCAGGTTCCTGCGACAGCAGCAGGAGCTAAACGCATGTGAATGTGTGTCAAAGACTGACATGGAAGAGAAGAAATTGTTGAATGAAGTCGTTATTTTTGTTTTCTTTGCGAACAAAAAGTATTATCGTAGCTTCATAAAATTACAGTTAAATCACTGATGTCCTGATGTCCTTACAACCTTTCTGGGCCTGGGAACTTTTCAGTTGCATTGCTGTCTATGCAGGGTCAGAAAGCTCTCAGATTTCATCAAAAATATCTTGTGTTCCGAAGATGAACAAAGGTCTTACGGGTTTGGAACGACAAGAGGATCAGTAATTAATGACAGAAATTTCATTTTTGTATGAACTATCCCTTTATAAATCACAGACTAAATCCTAATATAAAAAATATATATAATATAATATTTTATAATATAATATAATATAGACATTTGTAATATACAGATTTAATATTGTAAAAAAGTATTACATATATATATATATTGTATATATTTTAATTTATAATGCATTATTATATAAAATCTATATGATAATATCACGCTTCAAACCCCTGAGAGCACACTATCTGTGATGAGAAGTTAACTCATCATTTGTATATTTTCATGTCTGGGAAAAATTGGGGATTAAACGGGTTAAAATGCGTTTTAAACATAAAGTTAAGTGTTTTTTTACTCTTGGTAATTTAATAATTTCATAAATTTCATAATTTAAAAATATAGTGCAGAAGTATCGAATCGGTATCGATATCGACGATACTGCCTTGAAAAATATCGGTATCGTATCGAAAACAAAATAAGGGGTATCGCCCATCCCTAGTTAACTGAAATACTCAGGTTTCCACTTGCAAGACTCTTGAACTGGTGAATTCAGAGTGGATGGAAGAGGACGATCTGAAGTTACATTTCACAAAAAGTGCAATATTATTTAGAATGCATGATTAGCTGACATCATGCATTCTAAAAAGAGAAAACTTTTGGTATAAGACACCTTATTTTTGCCGTTACATACATCTAATTAACACTGAGAAAAGAGGAAAAAAGCCTTACATTTTTACACTTAACACGGCACTTCACATATTCACATATTTTCAGCAGTGTTGATTCTGAAAATACACTTGCCCTAAGACAAAGTGACGGCAATGTTTGAGTCTGATTATCAAAGCATCATTACACTGAACATATGAATGACCTCACAAACAGACAACCTATTAAGGGATTTCAGGTACTCATTATTATTTTTCTGTCTACTCTGACACCTGGCTACATTCACGTGGGCTTTATCACTATCATTACATAGAGGTTACAAGCACTGTGACAAACGAACCCCGTGTAAAATTACCAGCTGACTGACGGATCATGTTTTTATTGTATCTGACAAAACAACCACCAACTAGTATTTAAAAAGGGAATTTTTCAGAAAACGATAACAGCTGTTTGCACGTATGGGCCATGCCAGAGTCTGGCAATCATCAGTAACAGAAAATAATATGAAGCTTGCTTATTAAAGCATCTGTTCTAAGTATTACCTCTTTGAATACATCAGCAGCTCACCAGATATGTAACTTTGTGCTCATATGGCACAAAAATAGCACACAAATCCAAATCAGGCAATGCACCCCCCTGGT